GTCGAGGAAGAGTTGCTGTAATAAAAATTATGGTCACCTTTTAAATGCAGTAGAACAGTGGTTATTAATGAATGGTACATGGTGTAATCACGTAGGGTAGAGCCTAGGCATGTGACTTTAAAAATAAAGGTCACTGAAAGATTATAATGAAAACTCCCAATTGACAACCCCTGCACAGAAAAAATACCGTTTTCATTATGAGCCTCAAATAATACAGAATCATTACTTCTCAGTTTTTAAGTTTGAAAATTTTGGACTACTGTATTCCTTTTTAAGACATTTATACAACTCAACCATATGTCACTGAGGTAGAAGAATACAGCTTTTTCACATCAGACATTTAAAGAGTTGCATCCTACATAAACTATAGGCAAATTCAACTCCTTGCACTCAGGAAATTAACTGGAGTACTTTCTCCTATATACAGACCTCAAGCAGAAGTCTACTATTTCATTTAGTGTTGACTGAAGATATGGTAATCTGTTCCAGAGTTAGAAGAAAAATGGTATTGGACTTACTAAGCAATGTACAGTATACCCAAAACTATGTATCCTGGAATTGAAGGGAAATTTAAGGAATTGTCAAGAGTAATAATTGACTCTGTATAATGTAACAATCTGTCTAGTAAAATGCAAGTTCATCACATTGGCAAAAGTAAAAATGTTGTCAAATTTAATCATTTATCATCTTGTGCTTTGATTTGTTTTTTTGTCATCAATGTTTTTTTTCCTTTCTAGAAATTAAGAAGCCACCAGTGGCCCCCAAACCAAAGTTTATGGTGGCAAATAATAAGCCAGCTCCACCTCCTGTGGCACCTAAACCTGATATTGTGATTTCCAGTGTTACACAGTCAGCAAAGAAAACCAAACCGGCAATAGCTCCGAAACCAAAAGTTGTGAAGGCCTCACCTGTTCAAGACACCAGGCAGTCACCCTCGAGGAAAATCATCCTGAACCTGGAAGAGCATAAGCCGGAATCACCTGACAGCTCTGACAACTCTAACTGCAAAAACGCAGGGCATCAGAGCAGTGATTGTATTTTACCAGTGTGTTCCCGCCGTTCTGAGTGTAACCATAAGCTTGGGAATAGAGAGAATTTGTATGTCAAGCAGCTTGTCCTAGGGCCCCTGGAAATACATGAAAATTTAGAAAATAACAAAATTGGCAAGTCCTCTTCAGCTGTAAAAATTCAGAGTAAATGTGATTCTAATGGTGAAAAGGTCAAGAACCAGAGTGAAGTAGTTTTAAAGGCAAGTATCCTGGAAGAGAAGCTCAAAGATGTTTTAACACAACAAACATCACCTTCTATTTTCCCACAGAAACACAGATCAACAGACAACCCAGAAAGGAATGATGACTGTAATTCCAAAAGACAATTCAGAATTGAATTTGCAGATTTGTCATCCTCCCTGTCCAGCTTTGGAAAAGTTCCTGATCATCACCATTGCTACCTACAGCTTCCTAGTGATGAATTTCAAAGTTTTGAAACTAGTCGGGATGACAGTGAAAAATGCCATACTTGCTTTCATTCATCGGAACAAGAAGCTCTAGACAGTGGTAAAAGAAGTGCTTTTTTATCTTCAGATGGAGATAGTAAGAAATCAGCAGTCAAAGACTTTGGTCCCTTAGAAATTCACTTAGTGCCGTATACTTCCAAATTTCCAACTCCCAAGCCCAGAAAGACACGAGCTGCACGTCTGTTGCGCCAGAGGCATATAGATACTCCTAGTGAGGCTACCGAAGAACCGGAGAATGGAGACGGTAGCTCTTGTCTTTTCGAAGATAGTTTGAAAAATAATGAAATTAGTGTTTGTCATCAGAATATCTTATGTAACCAGGAACAGACAGACAAAGTGAGGCCAGGAAATGAAAGTGAATTGAATGTGGACTCCATCGGGGACAGACACAACTTAGTCAATTCACAGAAAGCCTTGTGTCCTGAAACATCTTCCTTTGAAAAAATGGCACCTCCTTTAGAGACAGACTCTGATTTGAGTTCTGACAAGACAGTAGATGGTTCTCGTATGTCACTTGCTGTGGACGAAGGAAACAATTTCATAAGATGCAGCACTCTATCTATGAGCTTGCCTAAGCAGCTCAAATTAACTTGCAGTGAACATATGCCTACTGCCTGTAACCAGGGAGTGTCTGCCCCTCAAATGCAAAAGGAGTCTATGATAAAAGGCGAAAGTTCCTCAAAAACTGTCCCCAAAAAACCTCAGAGACACAGTTTGCCTGCTGCAGGAGTGCTTAAGAAGGCTGCCTCAGAGGAGCTTGTGGAGAAAAGTTCTTATCCCTCAAATGAAGAAAAACATTCAGAGAAGGGTCTAGAAAGAAATCACCTTCAACATTTATGTGCCCCAAACCATGGTGTATCACCGTCTTTTGATGTGCCTAAACGGACTTCAGAGAAGCCAGTGTGGAAGTTACCTCATCCCATTATACCCTTCTCAGGGAACCCAGAGTCCTTAAAGTCTGTCAGCATATCCTCAAACAGTGAGCCTTCCACTGCCCTCACCAAGCCTAGAGCAAAATCGTTATCTGCTGTGGATATGGAAAGGTGCACGAAGCCTTGCAAAGACTCTCAAAAGAAAAGCTCTTTAAAGAAGTTGCTCAACATGAAGCTGTCCATCTGTTTCATGAAGAGTGACTTCCAGAAATTTTGGTCCAAGAGTAGCCAACTCGGAGACACAACCTCAGGCACCCTCTCGAGTGGGGAGCGAAAAGGGACTGAAAGTGATTGGCATGGCTTGTTGGTAGGAGAAGAGAAGAGAAATAAACCCATCAAGGCATACTCCGCAGACAACTATAGCCTGGAATCCCAAAAGAAGAGGAAAAAGTCTCGGGGCCAGACCAGTGCAGCTAATGGACCAAGAGCTGAGTCTTTGGATGACCAGATGCTCTCCAGAGAGTCATCATCTCAGGCCCCTTGCAAATCTGTTACAAGTGGCTGTGCACCTGAATATGAAAATATACGCCATTATGAGGAAATACCAGAGTATGAAAACTTGCCATTTATTATGGCTGTAGGGAAAACGTCAGAGAATTCCAGCAGTGTGGAGGACACTGATGCAAATGTGTATGAGGTAGAAGAGCCATATGAAGCTCCAGATAGCCAGCTGCAACTTGGACCCAGGCATCAACATTCCAGGTAACACTTAGACATCAGACAGACACTGTACTTTTGCTTACATCGCTGAAATTAACCTTCAGCAACCCTGTGAGATAGGTTAAAATCTCACATGTGAGGAAAAATCACTTGGTGAGAGAGTGGTTTAGTTAAGCATGTATTGAATCATTCCAAAGTGCAGTTTCTTGGAATGAGTATTCACAATCCCTTTACGTAATTGACTTATTTTAGTAGCTGATTCAAAGAACTTGAACCAGTAGTAGTAGTAGTACTACAAGAAAGACCTAGAACAGATACCTCATTGCCTCCAAGGCACCAACTTGGAAGTCACAGCGAGAACCTAGGGGAGGAAATTGACCAATCCAAGGAGGTTTACTTGCTAAGTCTAAGAAATTTGAGAAGTTATTGAAATCTATGTGTTTACCTATGGTGCCCTTGTCAGTTAAAACCCCTAAATTTGCAGAATTCACTACTCTTTGAGGATTACTTATTTTACTTGTTGAAAGCTAATTACTAACTTCAGATGGACATAGGAAAAATACAGGAAAAGCATAACTACTGTGCTTTGTCACTTTTGTGTATGTACTTCCTACCTTTGGTATACCTACTTCATCTGTCTTGTTGAAACTTTACGCATCTTTGATGGTCCAGCTCAGCAATCCTTGACTTCATGAAGCTTCTACAGTTACTTAGTGGGGAATGTTTACTTCCTATTCTGACCTCCCAGTTAAGCTGTGGTATCCTTACAGTTTTTATCTTAGCCTGTCTTATGGTAGGATTGTTTATTGGTATGTCTAATTGGTATTCAGTTCATAAGCTTCATGAAGAGTTCTAGTCGTGTCTTTTTGTCCTGCATGAGACCAAGCAAGGAGCTTAGTAGGGATCAGTAGACATTGGTTAGGTATAGGAGAGTGAATGAAAGAGGCAAAGAAAGCAACCACTGCAGCAGCTTCCTTCTCTCTCCCTAGTCACAAAGGGAGTTTTGGCATATTGTATTTAATGTGCTTGTGCTTTATGTTTAACCCACAAAGCACACAGACTCTTCTTGAAGTCTTTCTATATATATATATATATACATATTTTATTGAAGTATAGTCAGTTACTATGTGTCGATTTCTGGTGTACAGCACAATGTCCCAGTCATGCATATATGTACATATATTTGTTTTAAAAATGTCATATTCTTCTTCATTAAAGGTTATTACAAGATAATGAATATTCCCTGTGCTATACAGAAGAAACTTTTTAAAAAATCTATTTTTATATGTAGTGGCTAACATTTGCAAATCTCAAACTCCCAAATTTATCCCTTCCCACCCCCTTTCCCCAGGTAACCATAAGATTGTTTACTATGCAAATCTATTTCTGTTTTGTAGATGAGTTCATTAGAAGTCTGTCTTAAGTCACTAATTTCAAGCCATTAAGTAGTCAGGTCTTAAAATGGGAATTTTGTAGAAATATTAACATATGCAGCACATAGTAGAGGCTTCCTCCAAAAAAAGATTATTGGGTGAATTGAATAAATAAAATTGTTAAGCAAAATCTTAGTCATCGCACCAAGTAAAATAAATTGTTCTATGTTCTTTTAACTTTCATATGCTTTCCTAGCACTTTTTTTTACTTGTAATCCTCTCTGCCCTTTCTCCTTTAACCAGTAAAAGAATTGCTTCTCTGGCCTAACTGTTCTCATAGTCAGCTCCATTCTGTTTACAACTGTCTACTCTCTGAACCTTAGTACCTAGGCAAAAGCCTTTTCCTTCGCATAAATATTGTAATGGAAAATGGAGTTAAGTATCCAACTTTTTCTTTTTAAGTCTATTTTCACACCTGTTCTTTTCTCCATAAAACAGTTTTGTTCGTACTGTTATTTAAGAAGTTTTGTGTATTGTGTGTGGGTGTGTGTATGTGTGTGTGTGAAAGAGGAAAGAATTTGGCTTCTTGGTGACATACTACCATCCTTAGCTAGAATGAAGTTTTTCCATAAAATTGAAGGTTTGGCCCTGGATATAAACTTCCTGTTGGCCCTCAGGCTTAATCCTGAGGATTTGTCATTATCTCTGACACCAGCTTTCAACTTCTGAAACTTGTCCTTTATCTGGTATGCTTCTTATGCCTTTAGGGCACTGCTGATGGAGTGGAGGGAACCAGGATGGAAGGAGTTAATGCACACAGCAGCCAGTGCAGCTGGATGGCATTCATAAGGAGAGTTCTTTCTCAAGGCCGCAGGAAACCAAGGGCGGCTTTGGACAGGTTGAGGCTGTCAAGTAGGGCAGCCTAGAGAAGAGTGGGTGAGCTCTTGCTTTAGAATTTAGCTTTCCATGGAGATTTTTGTTTAGGCCTGGAGCTTGGAGCCCTAAACAGGCCCGAGATGCCTAAATGTGCTGCTGAATCAAAAGCCTTCAGTCGTAGGGCCAGACTGACAGTTTTGCTTGGGAGGTTGTACCTTTTGTAAACAACATTGAGTAGAAAGAGAAAGCAAAATTCAAGCCTTCATGAGAAGGACACCTGGCCACCCCAAAATAAGGTAAATGAGAAGTGGGACATCCATTTCAGGTCAGCTGAGTGGGTCTAAGTGAAAATCCTGTTTGGTAATCTGGCTGTTGAAAATATAGGCCTGTGCCTTAGAGTAATTAACTCAAAATCAAAATGACAAGAAAAAACACAAATGGACCCATTTTTCTGGGTTGGAATCCAGAAAAACAGGATTTTTCTGTTGGAGTAAATCAAAAGAGTGCCTTTAATAGTTTCTTAGGCCTCAGGAAAGATTATGTGTCTTATGAGGGGGACTGGTTCACAGATACACACTAGTTTTATAGAGTCTACATGTGTAACCAACCAGATTCTGGATTAGTAAACAGACATTTGTCAAGCTTTGGGGCAGCGTATAGTCACTTCTTTAAAGTACAGATGTTTCATGAATCCAACAACTTAACATTTACAAATTTGTAGCAACGTGTTTATAACTTACTAGGACATAATTGTAGGCAGTCTCCGATTCCAAAAAGGATTGTGTTCTAAAAATTCAAGATAATTTGGAACTCAGAGTGTATATCCCAAAGAAACTCTTTTGGAAATAGTGTTAAAGTTCCCAGTTTGGCCCCCAGTTCTGCTAACCAGTCCTGTACTGGCCTCCCTTCCCCCTTCCCAGGTAAATTCTTCCCCTCAGTGCTTTGTGCTGATACAGGACACTTGCCGGCCAGGGTGCAGGGTGGAGTTGAGCACCATGGTATCAGTGGAGCAAATCCGCAGGGTCTGAGGCAGCAGGGTTTGTGGAAAGGGTGAGGTGACTAAGGAAGAATGAGGAAACTGGGGGCTGGTCTGAGAATTACTGTAAGGCGCTGAGAGTGATAAGGAGAAGGGGAGGGCTAGGTGGTTGGGAATTAATATGCAATTGATTTTTCCCCTCCTTTTCTCCTTTATTATTCCTGCCCCTCCCTTTCTCCTTTATTATTCCTGTCCCTCCCTCTCTGCCCTCCCCAGGTTCCTTTGTGTGATTCTGTTAATTGACTTGGTGACCTCAGGCTAGGGTGAGTGAAAGAAACTGGGAGGCGAGGGGCTGGATGGGTAAGCAGTGGTACTAAGAAGGTGGAACAGCCACATCTCCAGGTGAAGGAGGATGAAGCCATAGAAATGGTAGCTTTAGGTATCCCCAGATAGGTCATCATTGGGTCACTGCTCTAGGTTCTCAGAAGCAATTTTATTGGAAATAAGGCT